ATCAAACTCATGCAGGTATCCAGAGACCCAAAGTGCTGTCATGGCCCCACTGTTACAGAGTGAGGGCATATGGAAGTCATGTGACAAAAGTCTTGGCCCAGGATTATCTCACTGTAGGTCCAATGTATCCATGGACCTACCCAGTTGTCATCATCTCAGTTCCTGAATGTATAATTGGAATGGACATACTTAGCAGGTCCCAGGACCTCACATTGATTCCTTGCCACATGCAGTAAGAGCTATCACAGAAAGGTCGAGAAGAAGCCCCTAAAACTTTCCATCCATCAAAGTTCTTAAAACCAATCTAGTCTCTGCAAACACCGAAAGAATCATGATGAAGCATATTGGACTTATCCAAGCAGTAGTCTCAATTGCAGCTGTTGTTCTAGGTACAGCATCTTTACTAAAACAGCCCAACTTAAGCTCCAGTTCACGGTATGCGGCATTTGATCTGGGTGCACATATTATTTTCAGCATCTGCCAGGAAGGAGCATCTGAGCCAATTCACGTTTACCTAGGACAGACAGCAGTGTATACTGCCAGTCTTGCTCCAGAGATATGCTCACTCACCTCCTCTCTGTCACAGTAAGTCCAAAGACAGCTGGCTTCTCTGAACATTCTACAGAGCATCATATTGGAATGATAGCACTAAGATAATCAGATCTGGTGAGCAAAAAACTCTGGATACTCAAGTAACAGGGTGAGAGATAACCAGTGGCTGGAATATTCGTGTAGTTCTAGGAGCCTAACAGTTTGAGGTATGCCAAAGACCTCCTCCAAGATAAGGTAGGAGTTACTACACCTTGTACCTCTGATCCTGGGTGAATAAAATGAATAAAACTGAGTTTACTAGATCTCTTCCAGTTTTAGAGGTAACATGTAGTACTCTTGAGAGTTCAATTCCAACTCATTTACCAGGTGACCTAGAAGGTTTCCCTGTTTTGAATGGATCCCACAGCAAGGAAGTGCCCCACAGCTGAGTCCAACCATTCCTTTTAGAATTTTAAGAGATTTCCTAGTGATCACACACAGAATAGCAAAACATATGTGATATACTTTTTCTTTTCCCAAATTTCTCTACTGTTCTCCACTCAAAACTATCAAATATTCCATTAACAGCAAGTGCATAATCCATAGTGATCAACAGACTTCTTTTCCCCCTGGCTTTATCACATTACAGGCTTCTCACAGCAAGGAATTTCAGAATTTCAGAAAGGGCCAGAATCAGTAATGAAAATGAGGAGTTGCTTACATGACTAACCTTCTTTGAATGTAAAAGAGAAAATAAAAAGAAATGAGAAAAGGAGAAAAAATCTTCATTTGAAGTACAAGTATAAAGGGGTGGAGTTACTTTTTATCTTTTTCTTTTCCTTATCATTTATGACTCTACTCCCATCCATTAATGTAAAAGTGTAGAGTGTTGTTTAAATATTTTACAAGGTAGGTAAATTCTAAAAAATGTTTAATACTTAAAATTAAATGCTTTAAAAATAATACAATAAAATGTAATCTATATATTACATAAATCAAAACATGACTTAATGAATAATCCACATTCGTATAGTTCCTTAATTTTCAATTGGCAAAGTATTTTCACTTATAAAGTAAATACATTACCCAATATATCTATAAAGGAGAAAAGAGTGGATATTGTTATTCCTTTGGAGACTGAAATCTCCAAAGTATACAGATTTTCTGGACAGCCTCAAGTAATTGACATTAAAGTGAAGCCATCTCCTAATAACTTTATAGAAGTGCATTAAGCTAAGCTGGTATACTATATGAAATAAGAATTTCTATCCCCATTCCTTTGGGCATCTGAAAAGCATTAATTTGTGTTTGTTTGTTTTCAATGTAAAGCATTGTACTAAGGCTGGGGATTTAAAAATGAATAAGATAACAGGCTCTGCCCTTAAGGACACACACACATACACACATAAACACAGGAATATATAAGGAATTATAATATGATATGATATACTCTCAACATACAGTACTTTGAAAACAACAACAAAAAAGTAATGATTAATTCCAAATGAGGTTATGTAAAACCTTACAGAGAAGGTAATATATTTGATGGGACCTTAAAAGGTGAAATGCATTTCATGAAGAAGCGAAAGAAGGGAGGAGAGGAAGGTGAGAATGTAGCGAGACCCGAGAGAGGCTTAGGGGAGAGAAGAAGCCATTAAAAACTGAGGAAGAAATGAGTTGTGAAGAGTGGTGGGTGATGGTCTAGGTTTGTATTTTTGGTAGAACAACAAAACGCCCATCAGATAAAAACAACACCCACCAGGTCCTTGCATTTTCTAAATCTAGCAAAATATATGACAAACATTATAATGGGAAGAAGAAACGGTTTTGAAAAGTTAACATGGGATATTTAAATATGTATTGTGTTTTATGGCGTTGTTTTGCATTACATTTCATGTATTGCATTTGTTTTATACCTATGCTTTTTACTACCTCGGGGATAAGCATTTATACGAAGAGCATCATTTCTCCTGAAACACTAGCAGTGGCAGTTGGCACTTAATATCACCATAAAGAATCACTTTAATAACCTCTCTTTAGGGAACTACATTTTAGGAATAGCAAAAGTTTGGGGAAAATAAAAGCAAAGATGGGTATAGAGAAGCAAACAGTGCTTGGTGAATATCAATCGCATTCTACGAGCAGAGTCTAAGTGCAACTAGATCTTCGGCATCCACCTTAATTCATGGTACACTTTAAGAAGCTCATTTGAGACCAGGGAACTTGGTAAAAAACTACAAGGTTGATATGTCCACATAATAAAAGAATTTCTACCTCACTACCCATACATGATGGCAACAATATAATACATGTAAGCATTCTTTATAAGCTGCAGAAGTCTTTCCATATGTGATAAAAACAACTATTGCTTACAGAATAATATAAAATGATTGACTTTGAATAATTAAATAGAAAGTATCCAATAAAAACCATTAAAGAATATTTTTAGTGCTTATTCTGTGTCAAGCACTATGATAAGTTCTCTGCATAAAATCTTTTATTTAATCCTTTCAACCACCCACTGAGGGTAAGTAGGATCCCAAATTTACAGTTGAGGAAACCGACCTAAAATGGTAATCTGACTTGCCCAAGAAAACATAGGAAAGTAATATAGAGAAGGCAATATACAGACAGCATAAAGAAGATCTGCAGAGAGACAGTACTAATATCAAAGACCCAGATATTAACCATAAGAAATCCAACAGCCATAAGAAAAGAAGTGGTGCAATACATAAATGGGCAAAAGATCTGAACATACACTTCAACCAAAGATATATAGCTGACAAAAAAGTACATGAAGATACACTCAGCATCATTAATTTTGATGGGAATGCAAATTAAAAATACAATGAAACATTAATATAGACCTACTAGAATGGCTAAAATGTGAATTTTAAATTAAAATTAAATAACTGACAAGACCAAGTGTTGGCAAGGATGTGAAGGAACTGAACTCTCACACACTGCAAATGGAAATGGAAAATGGTACAACCACTTTGGAAAACAATTTGAAGTTTCTTAAAAATGTTGAACATGCACTTACCCCATGATCCAGCCATTCCATACAAAATATTTACCCAAGAGAAATGAAGGCATATAACCACACAAAGATTTATACGGGAATGTTCATAGTGGTTTATTTTAATAGCCAAAAACTGCAAACAACCGAAATGCTCATTAGCAGGTGAAAGGATAAACAAATTGTAGTATAGCCATACAACACAATATTACTCAGCAAGAAAAGGAAATAACTGATACACCCTACAACATGGATAGATCTTTAAGTAATTATGCTGAGTGAAAGAAACCAGGCAAAAAGGAGTACATACTGTCTGATTCCATTTACATGAAACACTAGAAAATGCAAACTAATCTATATAGTGAGGAAAAGCAGAGCAGTGGATCCCTGGAATGGGTTGGGGCAGAAGGGAAGGATCACAAAATACAAGGGGGCACGAGGAAACTTTGGGAAGTGATGAATATGGTCATTATCTTGATTTTGGTGATGGTTTCACAGATAGATCCACATGTCAAACCCTATCAAGATGTACACTTTAAGTATCTGTTTACTGTATGTAACGCATACCTCTTTAAAGCTGTTAAAAATGTATGTATTTACTTATTTACTTCTGTGTGTCTGTGATATATATTTTTTGTGTTTTTTTAACCTGTGAGAATTGCCCTCAACATTTTAACAATAGTCTCTCTGGGCAGAAGAAGAATTAGAATGTTTCGAATTTTCTTCTGTGAGTTCATCTTCATTTTCTCAAGACCCCCCTAACAAGCAAATATATTCTTTTAAAACAAAATGCTGTTTTAAATTTTTAAAAAATATGTATCTGCATTAACAAAAGACTGGAAAGCAACATCAAATTCAGAGCTAGTTTATATATTGTTTCTACTTTTCTACGGTATCTGATTTTTTTACAATGAAGATAAATTTTATATTTAAAAGTAAAATACGTATGTCTTTTTAAACAGAAAATAGTCTTACTAAAGACTCTTGAAAATTTGCCCACTATGCTGGCAATTACTTCCATACTTAAAGTTGTTAAAATAACCAGAAAATCAATGTATAAACACCGCCCTTGGATGTGGACCTTTACTCTCTTAGATGAATTAGTGGTGGCTTTTGCTTTACCCTGTTTCACCGTCTTGCCGCCCGCACCCCTTATTTCTTGGACAGAAAAAGGTTGGAGCGGGAGGGCAAGTAGGCTTGGCTCAGTCCTTTCTTTTACAAGCCACGGTGCCAACGTTTTTGACAGCATTTTAAACTTAGGTGAAATAGTAAATCACCAACGCCCAAGAGCAGAAATTTCGCGTCGACGATGGGGGCAATCTTTAGATAAACAGATAAACGGAGCTGTGTAACTGTCATCTGTCTGTGCCCAACCGCGACAGGCGCGCGCGCCCCGGCCGTCCC